GAGCTGCTTGAATTTGTTAAGGCTTGTTTTGTGACCTAATATGTAGTCTCTCCTGGAGAATGTTCCATATGCACTTGAGAAGAAGTCTGTTCTGTTGTTAATTGGATGGAGTGTGCCCTTTAGGTCCGTTAGGTCCAATTGGTCTGTAATGTTGTCCAGGTCCTCTATTTCTTTATTGATTGTAGGTCTAGTTGTTCTATCCATTATCAAAAGTGGAGTGTTCAAGTGTTCTACTATTAGTGTGTTGCTGTTGCATTATATTTTATTAACACACTGCTGGATTTTTGTTTAATACTATTTTTTTTTTTTTGCATACAAAATACTAAACTAGTAGAATACCACAGGTTTGTTTTTTTATTATGCAATTCTAAGTATTCTTTTTTGCCTGCTATTCCTTCTTTTAATAGTGAGTTTTCAGAAATGTCTTAAAAATTACATATTGTCAGGGCACCCGGGTGGATCAGTTGGTTAAGTGTCTGCCTTTGGCTCAGATCATGATAGCAGAGTCCTGGGACAGAGCCCAGCATCAGGCTCCCTGCTCAGTGGGAGTCTGCTTCTACCTCTTTCTCTGCCTTTCCCCCTGCTCATGTGTTTTCTCTCTCAAATAAATAAATAAAATCTTTTTAAAAAATTACCTTTCATCATTAATTTCTAACTTGAATTATTTTTGGTCAATAAATGTGAAATACCTTAGTAAATATTCTATGACATAGTACATGGTCAATTTTAGTAAAAGTTCCCTAAATTTAAGAAAGATTTGGAGAATGAATAGAAATTGCTGAGATTAAAAACGTGGCCTTGAGGCGTTGGTAGGGTAAGTATTCCAGGTTAAGTCAGGGAGAAATGAGACCTCTGTTTTGGATTCAAGGAAGAAAAAGCATGGCTCTGTTGAAAAATGGCAGAAAAGATGAAATTAGAGATTTTACAGTGGCTGTATTTTATAAAGGATATTATGTCTTAATCAGTTTGAAATTATCATAGGATCTGTATAAAGCCACTGGAAGAGGGAAGGCTTTATGATTAGAATTCATGATCAAATCAGTCTGGCATTGATACAGGGTATAAATTAAAGGAGTACCAGATTGAGGCCAGTTAGAAATGAGAAATCCAAGCAAAAGTGTAAAGGTATGAACTAAGGCAGTGCTAGAGGTAATGGAGAAGTATTAAGAGATAATGGAAAAATGTTACAGTTAGGGAAAAAACAATAAAAAAAAAAAAAAACCCTGACTGCATCAACAAAACACAAAATCAAATCAAACAAAATTAAACCACCTAGTCTCTCCAGAGACCATTTATTCTTCATGTGTCAGTTTTAGAAATAATTATTTGTCTTTAATAATTCTCTTGAGATGTATCTTCAGCTTCTTGGTGATGAGTTCTATTCTTATTATGGGTTGCAAAATATAATAGAAGAATATGAGTCTGTGAAACTATTTTCAAAATTGGCTTTTTTGGGTAACTTTCTTTTTTGGTATTATTTCTTTTTTTTTTTTTTTTTTTATTTATTTGACAGACAGAGATCACAAGTAGGCAGAGAGGCAGGCAGAGAGAGAGAGAAGGGGAAGCAGGCTCCCCGATGCCCAGAGAGCCCGATGCGGGGCTCGATCCCAGGACCCTGGGATCATGACCTGAGTTGAAGGCAGAGAGGCCTTAACCCACTGAGCCACCCAGGCGCCCCATTTGGTATTATTTCTTATACAGAAAATTGACCAGAATAGTACCAGAAACTCCCAGATACCCTTTAACCCAGAATTTTTACTTTCAACGGATGTTGACTTTGTCCCAAGTGCTTTATCATTTTCTCCCCCACTTTTTTCCCCTCTCATTCCCCTCTCCCATATTCTAGTTCTGAGAGTAAGTTGGAGACATTGTGTCCCCTTTCCTCTAATTTCTTGAGTGGGTATTTCTTACCAAGGAGTTGATGATCAAAATCAGGAAACTTCACAATGATACCCTGATGTTATCTAGTCCATACTCCATATTAAAATTTCAACAATTGTCCCAATAATATCCATTGAGGCTGTTTTCCCCCAGTCTAAAATTTAGTCAAGAATCATACATTGAACTTAGTTGTCCTGATTTTAGTGTCTTTTAACCTGAAACAGTTCTGTAGCCTGTCTTTTCTTTCCTCACGTTGTTTTTAATAATCTTTTTACTTTAGAATAGCTTTAGATTTAAAGAAAAGTTACAAAGGTAGTACAGGGAGCTCTTACATATTCCTTACCCAGTTTCTCCTAACATTAATGGCTTACATTCCCAATGTACATTTGTCGTGACTAGTAAACCAGCATTGATACATTACAGTTAACTAAGTCCAGACTGTATTTGAATTTTAGTCTTGTTTTTTTTTTTTTTCTCCCCCACTAGTGTACCTTTTCTTCTTACACAGTTCTTATTCAGGATACCACATTGCATTTAGTCATCTTGTCTCTCAGTATCTTTTATTTTGTGACAAATTTCTTAGTCTTTCTATGTTTGGGATGATGTTGACAGTTTTGGGAAGTATTAACAGATATTTTGTAGAATGCCCCTTAGTTTGGGATTGTTTTTCTAATGTTTTTGTCATGATTAGATTGGAGTTGTAGGTTTGGAGGGAAATGCCACGAAGGTGAAGTATCCTCATTACATTATATCAACGGTACATGAAATCAGCATGACTCATAGGTAGTGATGTTAACTGTACTAACTGGCCAGGGTAGTGTTCGCCAGGTTAAAATGGTCAGCATATGCTACACATATCCTTTTGTAGTATTGTGAGTTTTTTATGTTTTAGAGCTATAATGTCAAATGCATAGAATCCTGAGATCATTATATCTTCCTAATTAATTGAAACTTTTTCTTGATTACATAAGCAGTTTTTTTAAAATTTCTAGCAGTCTTTTAAAATTTAAAATCTGTATGTTTGCTATTATTGTAAGTCCCCTGGTTTTCAGTGGGTTTAGTTTTTTCCCCCTTCATATATCTTTGCATTCTTTTCTTTTGAACTTTCTAAGTCCTTAAATTTTGATGGTTATTGTAAATAGCACATGGATGACTTGTAGGTCCCGCCAAAGTGAATGTTTATTTCAAATTCATGCTATGATCAAGTAATGTAGTCATTGTGATCCAACCTTTATGTTGTGTATTAGTCATTTATTGAATTCTCTACCTTGTGAGTCTCTCCCTCCCCTCCTTTTTTTGGTCTCTCATTTTTATGTCTTAAGGTGCCATTAAAAAAAATCCCAAAATCAAATTCTGCAGGTTTACCCCTTCTTGTTTTTCTGGTTTTCCATCTTCAGCTTTAGATTGGTCCTTACTTTGTTGCCCAGTAATTAGAACATTTATTAAGACATTTTGGCAAATTTTATTCAGCATTTTAAAGTACTGAAAGTACATGTTCAGTCAGGGTGTTTAGTTTGTCATAAGATTAAAAAATGTAAATCTTGAGGTTGTCAAGTAGAAAGAAGAAAATAAAAGGTATAGGTAGATTAGAGTGATTAAGATTGCTACAAGGATGCCAAAAATGGTATATATAATATTCCAAAGAAAAACATGCAAGGATAAATTACTTGACCTTTTAGTTGTAAAGACCTGGAGAAAATAGAAGATCCTGACATGTACGGTTACCCTAGCAGGGAGCAAAAATACAGAGAAAACAAAACTGTTTTAGGAAGTTTCCTGCATAAGCTATGAGATGACACTTTTATCTCAAGACCCGATGGTGCTCTTCAGAAGAAAATATTATAATAGAAAGAAAGAAAGGATTGTGGAGTTTTACAATAATTATAATTTTACATTGATAGATTTATAGCTCAGATATTTTAATTTTTCATTCTTTTACCTTCTTCCCAGTCATGATAACTAAAGAGTCCAGTCCCTTTACCCATGGAGAATAGGGGTTATGTTTTGATGATACACGCTGACATAGATTGTCATAAATGAGTTATATTTTTGAGGACAAACGTACTTGTTGGGCTCTAATTCCACAACTTATAGTTCTCAGGATGAACTGAAGGGTCTGTGAAACGGGACTTAAAACAGGACAAAAGAAGCATGACGTGTACTGTGAGAGCATTGGGATTTTCTTTGGATGATTCTCATGGACTTGTTGTCTCTGTATTCCCTCATGTAAAGCTGGGAACCATATACATACCTTGTATTTTCCTGGTGGACTTCGCCCTTGGTGTCAGTTGGAATCTCTATGAGCATAAATATACCAAACACATATAAAAAGAAAAATGTATGGGAGTTTTACTTTCTTTAATTTTTTCTTATGTATTATATATTTTCATTATATTTGGAGCACCTGCTGTGTGTAGACATTTAATTCTGTTGGCTCACAAGAGGTCTATGTCGTGAATTTTACCCTACAGAGGTTATAATCAACTTGAAAAAAGAAAAGGAAAAAATAGTGATTGTAACAAGTTAGGGGTAATTAAATGCTAAGTGTCATAAAAATGCAGTGAAGGCTGAACTTTATATGAGGTTGACCAGGATGAAGTTTCCTGGAACAAATGGAATGTTATCTGGAGATATGGAAGGTTTGAGGTGAAATAGGGAACAGTTAGTGTGCTGAGGTATATCAGTGAATGGGAATGGCCACAAAAAAGAAATAAGCACAAATAAGTAACCATGTTGATGAAAGGAGAAAGAACTGTTGAAAACCAAGATTAGGAATAGGTTTTAATTGCATAATGGAAATTTTAGAACCCATGGAGAAAATTTTATTATATTGTAATATAATATTATACATATTACATACGGTAGACAATATGAAGCTCTTGACAGTTCTTGGACAGAGGTCTGACATGTTGAAAGTGATCAAAGTTTACCTTCATTAGGAAATGTGGGTCCATAGGATAAACTCAAGGTTGAAACTAGGAATATATTTTGTTAGGAAAGAGCCCACCAAATAGTAGTATGCTCTTTCTTTGGTTCCATAAAAATGAAATGTATAATACTAGTTTATATTATAAATATTTATATGAATTATTAATATATAAATATATTTTTTATTATAGAGGAATTCCAGGGAGGAAATGTGGTACAATCATACTTACAGCAGAGGAATTAAACTGTTGTAGGGTAAGTAAATATTTCTTTGATTTGAAAAGTATTTCCAACCTTTTTAAAAGATATTTCTGAAACTATTCTTAAATGATTGATTCTTCAGTAATTTTGGCAAAAAAATAATTAAGACTATATTATATAATTTTCTAATCTATAAAATATCATTGTAGATACTTAGTTACTTTAGATAGAGAGACTACATTTGTAGTCCAAAAAGGATATCAGTTATTTTAACAGTCTTTTTAAGGAATAGAAATTATTAAAATAGAACCTAATGTCAGTATTATTTGGGAGGGGGCTTTAATACTAGGAATTATCAGTTGTACCAATCAGTTAAGTTCTTGCAAAATTTTGAAGATGAAGTGTGATTTTCTAGGAGTACTTCTAGTCACCTAACTTAAGTTCTTTTGCCTAGTATACTTGTTTTTATACTTCTAATTGAATTAATTCAGGATTTATATAAGCTCCCATTTTTTGTTAGCTTGGGAAGCTCACATTTGAGGAAGGGACCAGCTACCACTCCAGCTAGGAATATGATGACATAGAGTGCATACTCAGTATTTTTAAAAGATGGCTATTTTTAGTTGTGATTGGCTGATACAGCCATTGACTCATGTTCAGTGATTTTACTGTCATCAAGAAATGAGGTGATGGCTGTGACACTCCACACTGGAAGTAGTGATAGCTCTCTGAATCTGTAGTTGATATTGTTTATTTAATGTGGCCCAGCAGATCCCTGGGAACTGTTATTTCTAGGGGGAAAAAAAGAAGTTTTCCCTGGGTTAAATCTCTAAGGGTCTTTATTTTCAATTTCTGCTTCATGATTTTAAGAACAGAAGTTCCTGAAGAATACTAAAAACTTAATACTGTGACATTGGCTATAGTTTTCATTTGGAGAACAGTTATTTAATATCTGAGTATTTAACTTGAATCTCTAGAGTATTTTCTTTAAGGACAGTTACTATGGCTTTCCATACATATATTTCTAGGACACTATGGGCAGAAGTCTGCCTGATACTACTTGCCAGCAAATGATGGAAACTGGGATTTCTGTTGGGTAGGGGGTGATCAGTGAGATAATAAAAGGAAAGTATAGTAACAGTGTTGTGAAGATGATTAAGCAAAGATACTAGAATTTAAGTAGTTAAAATGCATTTAAATTGATGCCCTTCTTCTTCCTCCATTGTCTATGCACCTGTGGGCAGGTCTGGCCACCTCAGTCTCAGTGTTCTCCTGTGTAAAATGCCCAGAACCTACTCACAGTTAGAATGCCATTAAACAGAGTTGAGTTTGGGATTTGCTATGAATTTGTAGTTTGTCTTACCAAATCACTTGACCCTTCTGTTTTACTTTCCATATTTGCAAGGGGGAGAAAAAAATGACATGTGAACCAGTCACTAGAATACTTGAAAAAATTCTCCCAGGTCTGCTAATTAAGCACCATAACATTAAATCTGAAAATACAGTGTATATGAAAGCATTTTATATATACTAAGAATACATTACAAGAAGTACAACGTAGTACAGAAATATTACCTACCATCCTTTTTTGTTGTTAAAATGGCACAATGATTTCTTAGCATTATATCATCTAATCATCTAATCATCTTTTGTACTTTGTGTCTCTAAATATATATATATATATATATATATATATATATATATATATAAAATATGTGTTTAATATAGTGAGGGAAGGAAGAGAATAAGAAGTTCAAGGTCAATAAGATACATGTTCCTTGTGTTGACATTAACATGCTGTTTTGTCAGACTCTTGACACTCAAGGTGATTTTATGTAAATATGCCAATGAACACATTATTTTTAGTTCTATTTCAAAATAGAACCAAGATACCAAGGGCATAGATTGAGTATGGCCAGGTTGCATGTTAAATATCTTCCACTTTGAATTCTGCTGTTTTGCTCAGAAGAACAGGAAAGAACAGGAATTTTTCCATGCGAATGAAGTAGAATCTGTTACTTACTAATTACTTACCACTCTTTCTACTACTAAAGCTTTTAGAATATCTGGAATTATCATTTAATAAGTAAATACATATTTATTATGCTTAACAATTACACATCTAATATTTTAAAAATATTATTGTTTAAATCATGACTTAACTTCACTTAGGTGTAGTATGTTCTCTTCTTGGTAACGAGCATCATTAAGATATATAAACCTTGAAATAATATTATGATGCTAGTATAGCAGAAGAAACAAATGTATTCAAAGCAGTGTTCATAGTTACTTTGGAAGAGACAGTGCCTTTTATTTTTATTTTTTTAAAGATTTTATTTATTTATTTGACAGGCAGATCACAAGTAGGCAGAGAGGCAGGCAGAGAGAGAGGAGGAAGCAGGCTCCCTGCTGAGCAGAGAGCCCGATGCGGAGGCTCGATCCCAGGACCCCAGGATCATGACCTGAGCTGAAGGCAGAGGCTTTAACCCACTGAGCCACCCAGGTGCCCTGAAGCAGTGACTTTTAAATGCACATTTAAGGGTACCTTGAAAATATCAGGCATTATCATTTAGAATCTTGAATGAAGTAATTTTACTTCACATTTGACATCATACAACTTGATGGGTTTTTTTTTTTTTTCTTTCTTTAAAATACATTGTTATTAACTTGAGCATAAGCTTTTTAAAATCAGGACACCTAAATTTCAGTCTTGTCTCTTTCAATACTCAGCTGAGTGAGGTTATAGTCTTGGAGCTTTAATTTCTGCATTTGTAAAATGCTAGAAGTCTTCATATATTCCCCAGATCATTACTTTGCAGAATAAAAAAGGGGCAGCATTGGAGAGATATGTAAATTATAAATTTGTACAAATATTAATTTTTAGTGTAATAATTTTAATAATCTCAACCTAGTATTACATAGTTTATTTCAAATGCAACTTCTGTAATATATCTAGTCAAATGCCAGCATATGAATTAATGTTATTTTGAAGTTATAGCGGGATTTTTTGTTCACTCGGTATTTTAAAAAGTAGCTTGAGATTATCCACAAATAATATTTTTCTTTTGGATGATTGATTCCACAATATTCGTAAAACATACAAAGTGCTAGTCCCTGAAATGGATGCTTGGAATACAATGGTGAGAAAAAACAATAAAAAACAACCCTGGTCCTTGTCTTTAATGAACAAGTAGTTTCTGGGAAGGACAGATATTAATTAGATGACTGTGTAGGTAAATATGTCATGATATATACTAAGTGATCAAATATAAGAGAGTATAATGGAGAATCCAATTTATATTGGGGAGGGGGTCACTGCAGATCTCTGAGAAAGTAACATTTAAGCTGAACCCTAAGGAGTAGTTTTCCAGTTAAATGAAAGAATTCCGTTGGAATGCACCGTTTGCATAAGGTTGTGAGGAGAGAAATAATTGTGTCTGGTGTGTGGTGGCCAAGGACTAAGAAGAAGAGATGATTAAGACAAAACTTTGCAAGAGAATGGTGGAAAAGGCTGCTCAGAGCCCATTTGGTACTGAACTTTGTAGATCACATTAATGATTCTGTGTTTATCTTAAAGACAAGAGGAAGCCTAGAAGCATTTTAATTATGAACAGTATTATTTCTTTTATGTTTTGAGAACATTACGGTGTCTGTTGAATGGAAAGTGTTGCAAGAGTAGAAGGAGGAGAAAGAAATATGTGCTACTGTGAGGGAGAGGGAGGTTGGACTAAGGTGATGTAGGGTAGCCAGAGTGAAGATTGGAGAACTATCTTAAGAGGTGCAGTGCTGAGACTTGGTTTAGATAAAGGGTCAAGAAAAGAAAGGAGTCAAGGACTGCTTCCTTGAGCACTTTGGGTGGATGAGTGTCACTAATGGAGCTGGGAAAATTGTAAGAGAATCAAGTTGGATTTGAATTAGTTAGAAGTGCCTATGAAGCATTTGAGCAGATTCTACCATGGCAAGTTTGTAATACTGGTGTGGAGTATTGAAGAAAGATCTTAAAATTCTCTCAGGTGGCATTAAGCACAAGAAGTAAAAAAAAAAAAAAAAAAAAATCTTTGCAATGATGCTTATGCATTTCTAAAAGTAGGTAAATGCTTGTCTTTCCTCCACAGAAAGTAGATTTCATTTGTGCTAGATACAGATGGAATTCCTGCTAAGTTCCTAACTTGGATGATTGCAAAAAAATATTTCCCCTAGGTGTGTACAATTTAGTACATTGAAAGCAATCCTTATTTTTTATTTTTTAATTAGCTACTTGTTTTGCAAGTCTTAAGGAATATAATTTGAAAAATTACAACTTGGTACTATGCTTACCAGTGATGAAAATTTGTTTTAATAATATTTACTTTCTGTGAAAATTTACTCACAATCAATTTGAAATATGTACATTTCAATAATCTATTATGTACTTTGACTATATCAGAGTATTTTTTGTAGTTTGTGTTTTGGTCCATGTGCTTTGGGAAAATGTCTTACAGTAGTGATTTTTTTTTTTTTTTTTTCCTGTAGCAAGGACAATGTCCTTCTCCTGTGTTCTTAGAAAACTATTCTCTCTTAAGGCCATTTTAATAAATGTGAAGGTGAAAGGGCATTCAAACCAAACCAAAACAAGGAAATCAAAACCAGTCCTTCTCTCTCAGTTTTGCTCCGATTTTATAGTTTGTTAGGGTGATTTTCTCACTGCTTCCTTAAAGAATAGTATAGGAATTTATTATCTTTCAACCTCAGATTTGAAAAGTGATCATGATTGAAAAGTTTGAGGTGATAGTGGGGTCCATGTTTTTCTTGCCTCTGTTCTTTTAATTTTCTTTAAAATGTATATTGGTCGCTATTCCTGTTCAGAAAGTGAAGTCTAGAATGAGTGTTCCTCTGGCAGAAGTTACTCCATCTGTGTAGTAACACAATTACAATACACTACATCTTTATAGCTAAAATACAAAAGTAAATTATACTATACCAATGCTTTGAAAACCAGAAATCTAGACCTGTGAACCTCTCCAAGGACAGAGATGTCTTCTTCATCTCTCTATTCCCAGATTCTAGCCTGAGTATTGCTTCAGAAATGTTTGCTAAGTAAGTATACGAAAGAATGCGTGAAAAAGAGAAATAGTGTTCTCTTGTGCCGTGTTCCAGAAATGCTAAAAGGAAATAATGAAAACTTTAGTTGGATTTTTAAGTACTGCTGGACTCTCAAAAAAAAAAAAAAAAAAAAAGTGGTGATTAAGAAAGTGCTTTTTTTAGTATTCTTAACAGTTTCATCAAATAGCATTTAAAACTGCAAGCTCTTAATTGATTCTGAATTACTTTGACCCCCCATCTCTTCCCAAAATTGTCAGTTAAAAAAAATCCAAAATACTGATTTTAATTGTTAAACTACTGTATTTCCTACTTTTTAAAGGTGCTCATCCTATGTAATTGAATAATGTTTAACTTCTTAATTTATGATACTCCAACTTGTTTACTTATAAGCTAACCTCTGTAGCTTATGAGTGCTTAAATATATACATCCATAAAATGATGGATTTGGCATAATAATTAACATCCAAATATGTAATTACACTACAGATAAGCAGGGAAGTGTTTTACTTTCCTTGAAGCCCAATGTGATAGAATTATTAAGACTTTGTGATGCACTTGTGTATAGTTAAAAAGGAATCCTTTTCCCCCCACTAGATTGCAAGCTATATGGTCAGTCTGAATCTGTCTTGTACCTTATCTAGTGAGCAAAGATATCTTAACATCTAATACATGATAGATATGTAATAGATGCTTAGTAATTATTTCTGGAGAAATTAACAAACAGTTGTGCTCTAAAAATGTGTACTTGAATAACTGAAGATAAGAATGAAGATCTTATATTATATAATTTTGAATACCTATAGTCATCTACTAAATGTCATTTTTTCCACAGAGAAATGTTAGAGGTTTTTAAAAAGCAATAGTTCTATGACTAGAGCAGAAACTTCCAGAGTCAATTTCTTAGTCTCACAATCCTTTACAAAGTAATTTCATGTTGTCTGGGATTCTTGCACACTTGGCCATTTGCATTAAGATGGTATATTTGTTTTCTTGTCAAGTCTTGCTTGTGATCTGCAGTTTCTAGTTATTTATAACTGAGGTTTTGAGATATTTTATTAATTTTGTTTGTAGGATGCTGTTCTGATGCAATTTTGTGCGAACAAATTGGACAAGAAGGACTTCTTTGGAAAATCAGATCCTTTTCTTGTTTTTTATCGAAGTAATGAAGATGGCAGGTAGATTTATCTTTTATTTTTAACTCTATAGTAAGAATGATACTTGAAGTATTTTTTTTTTCTCAGAGAAGCTCAGTGAATTGATAAACAGTAAAATATTTTGGTATTTTAAAAATTGATTTGATTTTTGCATCTCAATAACAATGTGTAATTTTATAAGCACTTGATATGTTTTGTATGATATTAAACATGATTGATTTTCAGCTTCAAAGAAACATTTCTGCTAGACTTTCCCTAAAATTATAACATTGCCTTAATAGGATGGAAGAATTATATTTTTGTGGAAATCTAAGATGCTAAAGCTAATGCTTCTGGTTATAAAATTGAAGTCTTAAACCATTTTTTTGGAGAAGGATTAGGATTTTATGGGTTCCTTTTTATACTTCGGGGTTTTGGGATTTTTTTCCCCAGTAATATTTGTCTAACATGAAATAACATTTTTCATTACATTTTAGTAATTTGAATGTTTTTAGCAGTCATGATTAGACTGGTTTCTTTGTGGTTTAAAATTGTACCCATGAGTTATAAAGTATAATTTAATATGTACTATTCTACCATTAAATATATTTTACTGTTTCTGTGATTCATACTATACTGTCAGTATCTGTGGGAAAGTTTAGTGGTCATATTATGGGCCAAGGTTCCGTTGCCTAGGTTTAAATCATGACTATCCTACTTAGTAGCTATGAGACCATAGGTGAGCTTATCAACCCATATGAGACTCCGTTTTCTCATTCATGAAGTGGGCTAATAGTCATAGCTACTTCACAGTGTTGTTGACAGTATTAAATGAGTTACAGCACAAAAAACCAGAAGCTTGCTTAATACATAAAATGCAAATGTTACGTGTTATTATTATTGATCTTAATGTATAAGTTTTCCTTAACCGTATGGAATAAAATATTAGCTAAAGGGAAAATGTTATTTTAAGATGAAAAAAGAAGGGAAAAGAATGAAAAAAAAAAAAAAACCCGTCACAACTGCCACACTTGCAAATGAAACTAGACATGTTAATGTTATATAGTAAGTATATAAAATGTACGTAAAAATAGAAGGTTTGCAATTTAAAGGGAATACACTGGGCAGTATAAAATGATGTTTTACTTTATTGTGTGATTGTTGTTGATCCAAGTCCTGGTCAGCTGTTGGTTATTGTGTTACGGTGTCACATTATTACACCTTTCGTACTTCCCTTCTATCTTGGTGGTAAAAAAATGACAGAGTAGTATTTGCATCTGAATACTGCTTTTACCCATGTGGAAAATACTGGACAATGAAGGAACCAGTCATTTGGCAGTCATTTCAAGGGAAGAGAAAAACTAAAGAATGGTTCAGGGATTTCTTTGTGACCATGTTGTCCTGTCTGAACTACTTGTTTTCTGAGTTTGCTATTTTTATTTTTACCAGTTTTCTTTACAAAGATTTGTTGTACGATGATAGAATTTCAGTCTCTCACACATTTAATACTACTCATGAGGGTTATATTATGGAAATTTATTATGCTTGTGTAAAAATGATAGTAATTTATTCATTAAATGAAATGAAATTATTAAGAAGAGTACGGTTAATCAAAAAAGTCATTTAAAAACAACTGTTGCTAAAATTTGGTGGATCTTACTTCAGAAACCTTTCCATTTACATTTACACACAGAAAATTAGGTCACCATCTATATCTAAATATATATTTTAAAGCATATGTATTAGTGTATATATATTTATATATTTATGTTTTGTTTTGATGTGTTTTGAATGAGTAAAAGTGCTTTTCTCCACACTTTTTATGTGTAAACCTCTTTTTTTAACTGCAAAGATTTTTAGCTTTATTTTTAACATTTATTTGAATATGAGGCTATTTAAAAAATTACCTGTTGCCTTGTGTGTTTGAGGCTCATTTTATAAGATAGAGCAAAACTTCGTTTTAACTGGAAGCATTAATAAAAATCCTTAACAATATATGATTATAAATTCTTATTTTTTTGCTGTCACATTTATTTAGTAACTTAAACTGTATTCATAATTAGGTAATAATTTTCCTTTGGAATAGCTGGGTTTTTGTTTTTGTTTTTGTTTTGCAAATGGTTTCATGTAAAGTACTTTAATAAAGCTTCATTCAAAGTATTTTAATAAGGCTGTTTAATAAAAATATTTTTATAATACTGTTTTTAATATATGTGCAGTTATATTTAAGCAGCAATAAATAAATAGCTCACTGAGATGAACCACTTTCTTAAGAGCAAAAGTTCCAAGTGTCAACATATTTAATTATTATGGCTGGTGATACTAGAAATGTCATAGAATTTTGATTTTTGCCATAAACAAAAAGGCCAAAAAGTCAGTAGCGTGTTTGTTGAACATGCTCGTTTGAAGACGGTCAGTTGCTTGCTCTATTATCTACCTCTGTCACTACCTGTGGATCCTTGGATCTAGATATCATCTGTGTAGCTATCCATCTGCATCTACCACCATACCAAAGGCTTGATATATATAAGAATGTGATTCAAGAGAAGAGAAAACCCCTGTTTAGATCTTTAAGGATGTGTTGTATTTTAAAGAGAGGCAGAAGCCTATTTCTAAAGCAAAACAGTACACTTGACCCTTGTACAAAATGGGTTTAAACTCCACAACTCCTCTTACACATGGATTTTTTTTGGATACAAGACTGTATATACATTTCCTCTGAAGATTTTTTAAAATAACATTTTCTTTTCTCTAGCTTACGTTACTGTGAGAACACAGTGTATAATACCTATAACAAACAAAATGTGTGTTAGTTAACTGTTTATATTATCAGAAGGCTTCCAGTCACAGTAGACTATTATTAGTTCATTTTTGAGGGAGTCAAAAGTTATGTGCAGATTTTTGACTGTGTGGTAGGTCCATGCCCCTGACCCCTGTATTATTCAAGGATGGGTCAGTTATGTATGTAATTTTGTCCCCATGAGCTTTTCTTAACCATTTTTGTGTACTGTCTTTTCTCTCTATTCCCTGTCTAGTCCTCCCTTATCTCCTTTGTTTTTCTTCGGTTTTAGACATCTCAATGACCCTTCTTGAGTTTGCACAGTCTATCCTCAATCTTTCTTTTCGTGGCTTTTGCCACTAAATTGTTTTCGGTGAGTCAAGTCTGAGAGCATTTGACCACAATATATTCTCTTGAGCTCTGTCAATTTAGTAGCGGGAGTCTGTTTAACTGGGTGAGGATACTACCAGGGAAGGGGATGGCACTAATGACACCAGTCTCATGATGAGTACTTGATCCTTCTATGTTTCTATTTGGTCTCTCTTTTTTTTTTTTTTTTAATTTATTTGACAGATCACAAGTAGGCAGAGAGGCAGGCAGAGAGAGAGGAGGAGGAGGCAGGCTCCCTGCTGAGCAGAGAGCCCGATGCGGGACTCGATCCCAGGACCCTGAGATCATGACCTGAGCCGAAGGCAGCCGCTTAACCCACTGAGCCACCCAGGCGCCCCTCTATTTGGTCTCTTAATAGAAATAGACTCCTCTTACCTGAGAGGAGGGAAATGGACTCCGAGGCTTTTCAAAATGAGAGTATTTTCTTGTGTGGGTTAGATGCAGCATGTTCAGTATGGTGATTATGTAATATTCTCATGTTCATGACTGTTAACAGGCATCCCAGTGTTTGGAAAATTTCATTGCTAAGGTCTTAGTGAAGACTGGGTTTGGGTGTCATTCTGACCAAGATCATTTTATATCTCATGAACTGCTGCATGTATTTACATTAGGCAAGAACATTTCTAGGACCTGATTCTTGTATGGAAATTGAATGGTCTGGTGGAAACAATGCTGGAGTTTGAATCAGAAAAACCAGCTTTAACGCTGCATGGATCTTATCTCTTATTGTGTATTCTTTAGGTCTGTAGAGCCAATCGTTTAGATAAAGAAAGAACCATAAACTTAGTGTCTCACTGTAAGTTCATGATGTTTATCTTAATCAAGGCCCTTGGGCCTCTCCAAAAATCCTACTTTTTTGCTTGATCCACCAAGTTTCCCTCTCTCCCAGAGAGTTCAGCACTTCTGCCTACTTTCTTCTTTACTGAGGTTCATCCTTCTTATTTCATAAGAAAATCGAAGCAACTGGAGAACTTTCTCATCATAACATCTGCAGTGCGCTCTACCTTCCTGAAGGTTCCTGCAAAATGGCTATCTGTGGTCCCAAGACCACAACTCCTTCATAGATGCCTTGGGTCCCATCCACTTTCATCTACTTAAGGACATTGCTCCAGTCTTTCTCTTATGCATAGTAAATTGTTTCCTATTTGTTGGATCTTTCCTTTTTTTTTTTCCTTAAAATTTTAATTTTTATTATTTATTTGGGGGGGCACACAAGCATGAGGGAGAAGCGGACTCCCCACTAAGCAGGGAGGACCCTGAGAGTGTGACCTGAGCAGAAGGCAGATGGTTAACTGACTGAGCCACCCAGGTGCCCCTCTGTTGGATCTTTCATTTAGCATACAACCTTGCTGTTATTTCTTCCTTCCCAGGGAGAAAAATTGAAAAGTAACAAAAACCACAAACCTTTCTGTGGATTAATCTATCCCCTGAAGCTAACCCCAATTTCTGTTTATGGCTAAACACCTCAAATATATTCTCTACACATGTGTCTGTTTCTCCTCTCTGTCTTAAATCCATCCCAGCCAGGTTTTTGTCCCCAACACTACAACAAGCTAATATTTGGGGGGAATATATGGCTAAGAATACATGTTCTTAGCCATAGATATTTTTCATTCTTTCAGTATGTCCTCACAATTTTTATAGAGCTTATTTACAGAGCAGCTTTAGGATTTATTGAATCTGCAAAAGATTATTTTTCTTAAACTTACTGCAAAATCTCATTGCTTTATATTGTAGTGAGCTTATCTTTAAAGTTCTAAAACCACAAATCTCTTTTTACTAAGTCATATACCATCTGTAGGAAGATTGACATTTGTTCTACACACACAAAAAAGAGAAGAATGCCTACTAAAGCTATATATCATAATCAAATTATGAAAATAAGTGGAACCTTTTCTTTTGTTTTTTACAGTTTTACAATTTGTCATAAAACAGAAGTCGTCAAAAACACTCTAAATCCTGTATGGCAAGCATTCAAGATCTCAGTCAGAGCATTATGTAATGGTGATTATGACAGGTAAAATAAATGACAGCTTTTCTGAGAGTTTGGAATATTTCCTACAGACTTTGTATCTAATAATCTAAGCCAAATTTTTAAAAATTAAGGTGTCTTCTTTACGTATGTAAATGTGTATTTAACAAGCATAGATGATTTGTTCAGAATTTTCTGAATAACTTTTTTTTTTTAAATCCATGATGATTTGGGGAAGAGGGATAATTTGACTCAAGTTTGGTTAAACTGACTGATTTGCAAAGACCAGAAATGTACAAAGTGCTAAAAATATATTAAATATTAGTTTGTTTTAACATATTATTCAAAAATTACCCTAAAATTTTCATTGCCTCAGTGCTTTCATTTGGTATTATCTTTCTAGAGAGCGATAAGTAAATATGGAAGCTACAAGGCTATGACTAGCTATATTATCAACTTTGATGCACTCTTGAAAATGTTACTTGGTATCACTGTTCTCATGGTCATCGAATCATAGAAGTTCTATAGATGTAGAACAGGGAGATGCTGGTGTTTTACGAGTAGGTGGGTGGGGTGGCCCTGAAGATACTCCTGCAGTATACCTAAAGATTCCTTAATATCAAAGTTTTTTTCTTCTTTTTCATATGAGAGTTGATTATAAGGTTATAATATAAAAGCCCTTACCTCCAAAAGAAAAACAAATAAATAGAAAGTAAAAATCCAGTCTCTTTATTATCTTGTTACTTGAATATTAGAAAAATGCAAATTTATTCTATTAACTAATATCATAGAAGGCATTGTTAACAGCATGCCATTAAATTTACTTTAAAACTCGACTGTCATTTTATTCATTTAGAAAGATCATAACTTTATTTAACTTCACTCATTCTTTAAGAAAGTGGTTCTTGTAATGTGGTTTATGATTAGCATCACCTGGTTAACTTTGTAGAAATTCAAATTCTCAGGCCCCAACTGAAACCCACTGAACCAGGAACTCTGGGCATGAAGTCTAACCACTCAAGTTTTGAGAAGCCCTCATGTGATTGTGATCCATGCTGAGATTGAGAAATCTTGCTCTAACACAGTGGTTTTCTAGAGAAGTAGCTGCATACCTTCCGGTTGAGGAGCCATGTCAGATTATACATGCTTCCCCCATATACTTGCCCTACTCCCTTTAAAGAAGCAATGAGATTTGAAAAACCTATTTTAAGATATAAGTCAAAATACAGTAATAAAATCAGCAAAATCCATTTCAAAGTATTTGTAAAAACCTATAAGCATACATTTCATCTAAGAAAATCTATAACTGATTTTTTAATTCTCAATGATGTTTTTTAATTGTACTAAGTAACTTTATGTGTATGTTTTCCCCATGGACAGAACAATCAAAGTAGAAGTATATGACTGGGATCGAGATGGGAGGTAAGACAACGTCTTTTATTCTGGCACTTGAAACTGAATATGCTTTAAGAAGTATATTGAAGTGAACACATTTTTTAAATATTGATCTGCAGATTTCACATTTGTCTTATTTTTCTAAATGTTAGTGAGGTGCTTACATGAAATTTTAAGAATTTATGTAATTTTTCAACTTGGAGAATAAGATAGAGGTCTTCCTCATTGCTAGTATTGTATTAAAGATTTTCAACTAGGACTTGAGTTTTCATTGTACACCTTACCAATGTCTTGTGTTATACCTTCATAGTACTATTCTCAAATGTGTGGGTCTCGTAATCTCTCTGAAGATTCCTATGACCTTTCTATCCATGTCATTCGTAGGATCCCAAATGGGTACCTGAGTACCCTTCCCCCCTAAAAAAAAGACACATACCTCACAAACAAAAAACAAACAAAACTAGAATTATGTCTGGTGATTCACAATGCAAATGGATGTTCAGAACTCCAAAATCATGGTTTCCCTCCGCATGTCACACGTTAAATCCTGAAAGAGAGGGGACTCAATACTTTTTCTCTTTCTTCTTTATTTTTCCACTGTTTCCACTGTTTTGAAGTGTTGTTAAATCATGTTAAGCCACGGAACCCAGAAATGCTCACATCTCACCTTGCCCTACAGAGCTGCCTCTGAAGGTCTTCCTGAAGGGATAGAAATGTACAGATGTCAGGGGAGAATGACAGGAGCAAAAGCAAAGGACATACTTAATTTTGCTTGGCTAATGCCCTACACTCCAACCCAAAGTTCTCTGAAAAATAGAACTGAAGTGTGTGGTTGAAGCCCAAGATCTAAGCAACGCCTGTGTCACCACATTTTATATAAGTCAACAGCCTAGCCTGAAGGGTTGAGGGTGTCTGGATACTTGAGCATTCCTGGTAATGTAGGAACAAGTTCAGCTGAGAAGTCTGGGCTGTCCTGAGAAGACATCCTTTCTGCTACATAGATAAGGAAAATGGCTGACTGGAGAACCACACCCAGCATGTAGGTAACATTGGACCTGCATTCATTTGCACACATGGTCTAATTTGTGCCCTGGAATTTGGCCCAGCTAGTATTTTCTCCTTTTCATGAAATGAAAAGGGAGGATAGAGAAAGAGGTGAAGACACTATCCCATACTTCAGGTCTCACCAGATAACTGATTTCTGTCTTCGTGTGATATCCCAAGCATGACTCTGGTAAGCTTCCTAACACCAGTTGAAGTCACTCTTAAAGACAATCCATGTTATACCACAGATCTTTATATTTCTGTCAGCTTATTTATTTAATTGATAATTTATATAGGTTTTCTTTATAAGAATTCTACATGGATTCTTGAGAAATCTAAGTAGAAAAAATTATGTTTTCTCCTAGGAGAAAGCATTCCCATAGTACTTAATGCTCCATTGAACTTTATTCATTGAGAAAATGAGTTTTGCATCTCAGAATAAATAGAAAAAAAAAAGAATGCCCTTCTGAGTGAAGTAGGACTTTATGCCTTATATCATGTACCCTGTTTTAAATTTTAATTGAGAGTGGGCAAAAGTGGCAGCTTTTTCCTAGTATTTTTGGGAAATTGGGGAAATGGTTTCGATCTGAACACTGTGAGATGAAGGTTCAAATTCAGATTTGATTTGCATCCATGACTTTTAATCCTAAATCTGCAGACATTGTAGATATTTTATTGTCCTGGTTTGAAAAGTGAGATTTTATGACTCTCCTTCTGTCTCCAGTTTACTTCTGAGCCACAAAAAGTTTGATTGTTTTGGAGATCAGAATTATCTTGGAATTTAATTATTATTTTTTCTTTTTTGATATTGGAGTTTTGAGCATTCCTAACCAGGATGATTTATTGAATGTTTTTAATGTGCCAGTTATTCTCTAAGCATTTTTCATGTTATTCCTTTTGTAATTTTCACAATAAGAAATAGGAACTATATTAATACCATTTTACAGACAGAGAAATCAAGGCAAAGAAGTAAGGTGCCTAATGTCACAGAACTAACAAATGGTGCAGCCAGAACTTGAACCCGACAGTAGGCTTCCAACAATTCACTCATGACTAATATGCTATATTTCCATAACAAGAGAACTGTAAATTGTGGCAATTAAATAACAGCTTTCAACCTGGGCAATGGTCTTAACTCTATCGATTCTTTGGTAGTTGTTGATAATGCGGTCACTAGGAAGAATGAAGAGAGTACTTAAGAAACCTTTTTTGTTTTGTTTTGTTTTGTTTTTAAAGATTTTATTTATTTATTTGACAGAAATCACAAGTAGGCAGAGAGGCAGGCAGAGAGAGAGAGAGAGGGGAAGCAGGCTCCCCGCTGAGCAGAGAGCCCGATGCGGGGCTCGAGCTCGATCCCAGGACCCTGGGATCATGACCTGAGCCGAAGACAGAGGCCTAACCCACTGAGCCACCCAGGCGCCCCAAGAAACCTTTTAACATAAGTATGTCACTACCTAACATTTTCTATTACCCAAAGAAGTAGAGGAAGCATTACTAGGTAGCAAGACTATGTAATGGGAAGGTACGTAGAGAGAAATGAGTATTACAGATTTTGAAAGAAAATCCTGGTAGCTGTTGAAAGGGCCAGTGCATTATAGAAGAGAGCTGTCTTGGATTATGAGAATAAGATCATGACCTGAGTCGAAGGCAGATGCTTAATGACTGAGCCACCCAGGCGCCCCTATAGATCCATATTTTAATGTAAGAAATTTGAGCGTATAATTCTGTATAATCTGTGTGTGCTTATTAGCCTTTTCAGTGTTAGCAAAATTACAGTTGAGAATGACATATAAAAAGAAAAATTAAAATCATGATTAAATAATTTTTGATAACCCTTTCACTAAATAATATAATTTATGAAATTTGAAAGACACATTGGTCTCTGATAACAGTGATGTGTAAATGCCATAAAATCCAGATACTAGTTTTGTAATGCGATAATACTAGTCACTGGATTGTTACATAAGTTGATATTCCAGTTTGTGGTTACATGTGCTTATAATAACATATGGTTATACTTTTTACATGCATTTTTGTTTATCTGACACGATTTCCCAGTGTAAATGTTCTTTCCTTAAATCAGATGAACATGATTTGACACTCCTTATTTTCATGATACAATGTAATTATCAGCAGAAGCTGCTTCCTATTCTTTGTCTTCCTGTCCTCTTTAGTACTTGTCATAAATCTTGTGCATATATCAGTTTTTAAATTCTCTGTCTAGATTGAGAACTTTCGTTTCCTCTATTTAGAAAAGATTATTTACTCAGTGGGTTCCCCTGCCTTTTTTGGACAGCTATAACAGCGTTGTCCAGTATAAATACAGTGCAAATTCTATATGTAATTTAAAATGTTCTGGTAGCAGCATTAAAAACTAAAACCAGTGAAACTGATGTAATTATATATTTTATTTAACTCTGTATATGCAAAATGTTATTTTAATATGGAATCAATACAAAGTTATTTTTTTAAAGATTTAATTATTTGAGAAAGAGACAGAGATAGCGACAGAGATAAGGAGAGGCAGAAAGAGCAGGGAGGAGAGGGAGAAGCAGGCTGCCCACTGAGCAGGGATCCCAACTTGGGACTTGATCCCAGGACCCTGGGATCATGACCGGAGCCAAAGGCAGACACTTCACCGACTGAGTCACCCAGGTGCCCCATTATGAAATTTTTAATGAGGCACTTTACATTGTTTTATACTAGGTCTTTGAATCCTGGTATGTACTCTTGCTTGCCGTGTACTGCATTCAGGCTGGCCCTGTTTCAAATGTCCTGTTGCAGCATCTGGCTTGGCAGTTACGATAGTTGATAGCGCCATGTAGCCCCATTAAATCCATACAGTATATATCATAAGTAATTTTATATCAGGTATTTGTTTTAAACTTTTAACTCCATTTTGTCTGTATTTCACAGAAGTTGAGAGGTGTCCCCTTATAAAGGGGGGAAAAAACTGGTCAGATATCTATATTATTTTATGTATAAATTTGACCATAGGAAACCCAACAGATAATCTGATCTTTCAGCCTAGAGAGATTATCTCAGTCAAAAATTTAAGTGAACAATGCTTGACAGTGTTACTTGCTTACCATCCCATTTTGTTTTATTAGCTAGGGTACTTCCGACAGTGGAGGTGGTAATTATATTCACAGATTAGAAACTTCAGGAAGTGGTGTTATCTTGGGTCAGAATTCTAAGGGTATGTTTAACTGAGTTCATCAACTTGAAATTAATTCTGGAACAAACATCTTGTGCATCTGTGAAGCATACAGAAGTGTGGTAATGCTGTTGCTCAGGTAACCAGTGGACTTTAAAATGGGTATCCTGAGCTAGTTTGGAACTAAAGAGACATAGTTATTTGTCCTTTTTTATTTAAACACACTGGCAGTGGTCAGAGAGTGCGGAGACATTGCTTGACCTTGGCATGAATAATCAGTGTAAATGTGCCAATTTTCAACAAGTTAAACCACTTTACTAAAATCATCTCCATAATTCCCACCATTTCTTCAAGGGATGTGAAGAAAGACTATTTAAACCTCATTTTAACAATTGCAAAGCTGAAGTGCTGAGAAACTGACTTGTCTGGGTTACAAAGCAATCAGTGGTGGTATCTTTGAAAAGCTTCAATTGCTTGAAGTAGCTTCAGCTGACTTTGTAGCTTAATTTAAAATTCAGGGAGCATTAACAGAACAGCTCTGCATTAAAACCATGTGTCTCTAATGTGGGACTGATTGTAAATGGGTCACCGAGTAGATCTCCGTCTCCCAGAACGTGATTTGATGGAAAGGCTGAACTAGTGAACTGCCAGTCATAAAATTTGGCTCTTGAAGTCTGCTGAGAAAGGAGAGAAGTTTTCTTATTAGCACTCTGCTCTGTATCGAATGTAGTCTTTTTAAATAGTGAGTGACACTTATGACAAGAAAGCACAAACTCCATTGATCTGTGAAATGCCAGATAAATGCTATCATTTTCTTGTATGTTAC